AAAGTAAAAATAAAATCTTTCAGTGTTTAATCTGTTAAACAATAGCAAAATTCTTATGAACTAGTGATACTGTCATTGAACTGGAGAGAGTTTGAGAACAAGCTTGCTCTGGCTTTTTCACCCTATGATTTGGAATCTGCTCACAGTACTGCCAGCTTAACCAAAAAGGATTAACTCTCATATCCAACTGAGAACACAGATAATTCTCAGTAATTGGTAAAAAATGAAGATGAATGGGGCTGAGAGATAAGGAGCAATTAGCTCATCAGCAGTTACAGCTGTGCACTCAATCCGGATCCATCTCTGGAGTCTCGGCCCCTTTTAAAGAACCCAAGCAGAATAAGCACAAGACACCCCCACCCCAAAAACCTGCTGTACCTGCCCATCATTTCTCTGCCTTCCATTTTATTTCCTTGCTATAAAAAGACACCTGTCATAGCAYTCTGTGTAAATTGCTACCTCTCCCAGGACCTGTACCTACAGCCAATCTTCTTTTTACACTTAAGAAAAAAGGAAAAAAAAGAAAAAAAGAAAAACCCGGAAACCAAATGACTACTGTAGACACTCTTAAGTTCCCTGTCAATCGTTTCATTATAGCAGCATCATCTGTTTGAAAATATAAGCAATTCCCTCATCTAATTATAGGGAGGATTTGAGGTTCATTAACATTGCCAAGGCAGAGAATCAGATGTGCAACTGCAGAGCTGTGCTCAGTGGCCTGCATTCTCCGTTTCCTTTTATTTGCTTTCTCAAGGTCTCCAAGACTTTTTCCTGAAACCATAAAAGTAACTCTTTCCTTCAAAATAGACACGTGTTTAGAAAAGGAAATGACTGCATTTAGTGCTGTTCTAGTACTGGGGGAGGTCACTAAAGGAAAAAAAATTAACCTAAATCTTTTTTATCTCTGACTCTGGATTTAAAAAAATGATAATAAAATAAAATTAAGCAAGCAACCCTTAGTTTAGGACAACAGATCACAAGATACCTCATATTTGTCTCAGAATTTTAAGTTTAGTAAAGTAATGGGGATGAATATAAAACCTAACATGTCAAGAAAGCCGCTTAATTTTCACCACATTTTGTGGTTGTTTATAGATTAATGTGCTAGCCAAGTGTAAAATGTTGCCTTGCATTTCCTAACGGTGTTTAGAAACCGAGAACACCAAAGTCCTCATGATTGCTTCACTTCCTTAAAGAAATAATAGCATTTTTTTTGTATGAATGTGGTTTAAACAATGACATTTTCTTGGGACATCTGTTTTGAGATCACATTTTGAATAGATATGAACTCATTTCCTACTAAGCAAGTAATTTACTATTGTTGATAGTTGTTTACGAGTTCTCTGAGTCAGATTTTAGCAAGTGGCAAAGGTCTTTACAAAGCCTTTGAGTATTCCCTAGACTGTATGTATACTGTTTGCATGCTATAAAATCTTAGGGAAGAAAGAGTATAGAGGCTGTTCTGTACTTCTTACCAAGTTATAGTAAGTCAGTATAGAGCAGCCTAGCTCACAGAAATAATTTTAAACATATTTTCTTTTAAAGGCTCTTTTCTTTTACTGCCTCAGGTTAATGAAGTATGATAGCAGGGCAGTAAGTACTTAAGTAGCTAGGAAATAATTGAGGTGCTCTACCTATCCATATCTTTGGCATATGAGATGACAAATATATGACTGATCCTAATATCATCAGGAGATGTTAATATGACAAAGAGCAGAACCCCTCAAGGAAACTTAAAGTTTGACCTTGTCACTCTCTTTCTCGTAATTCTCCAATTAAAAAGAAAAAAAAGAGCATAATCTTAGGAACAAGATTGTATTTTGTTTGCTACCATATGGAATCCATTTTTTAAATGAAAAAATAGTAATTTATCTATCCTACGTGTTGTATGTAGAGTTGCCACTAAAAGGAACCCAGGACATTTTTCCTTCTTATCTGCAATGTAGCTCATATCAGCCAAGCTGTCACAAGACAGTGCTTGATATAAACAAGAGATTGCAAAGACATCTCAGTAATCAATATTAGGATGGCTACAGTATGGAAGCCCCAACCACTGCATATCATTTGTCTCAGCATCTATTTCTATGACCAAATGAAGCATTAATTCAAATCATAAATCTACGGTGATTTAAATCTGGGAATGAGCACCTGCCTGCTTTAATGATTTATTTTGTACATTTCAGTAAGCAGGAGATTTGTCCATATGAACTGACAGGTCACCTTCAGATGCCAGTAGCAGACTGTTTATCACCATGCAGACTAGCATCTCATCTTAGCAAGTAAATATTAAACTAAAAGAATCCAATTGATTGTGGATGGGGGAGAAAGGCGTTGCAGCCATATATTTTACTCAGTGTGCTAATACCTCAGTCTGATTCCTCTGTAATTTTTTTTTCTTTTTTTTTTTTTTTCCCCTGCTAAAATGATAATTCTGGTGGGAGGATGCAAGCTCAAGGTTATCATGCAAAACTGAGGATATAAAATAATTACTTATTAGTATCATTGGCTTCCTTTAACTCCCTTCACTCACTAACCTTTTGGCCATTGCTTCAAAGGACCAAGTTAATAAATTTGCGTAGTGCTCTGCATAATTATACAATGTTCATCTAGAAAACATGAGTTGTATAAGTCACATTAAGCATCTGATTAAAAACAAAAAAAAAGCAAGACAACATGGAGGTAAAGCTGATGATTCAACTCAATAACCTATACTTTTTTTTTCAACATTTTTCTGTATAGGCACAGGGAAAGGTTAACAGCAAGATATGGTAATTCCATGCACGGTATTATGCCACGGTATTATGCCACAGTACCTGTTAAAAATGGGCTAAGATGTACCGATTCAGCTTTTACCTTGTATTCTCTTTTTTTTTTTTCTTTTTTCTTTGTTTTTCTTCAGCTTGATCAGAAACATAACATCTTAAAATACAAACTAAGAACACGTTATTTTCTTTGTTTTGTTCCTTCCACTGTCAGCCCTCAATATGGCAACATTTCAAATTGATGGTGGAAAACCCATAATTTAAATCCTTAGTGATATATGGACTTGGCAATATTTATTTGGAAAAATATAAATAAATATTTGAAGAAAACGCAATTAAAATTGCACACATAGACCTGACACAAAAACACAGATTTGAATCATGGGGTTTTGGCACAATAATATAATATGTCATTTTTCAAAAATTCAAATAGAAAGTAGAGACTAAACTCTTAGTGAATTTAAGAATATCCTGAATATTTTTAGCAATTACTTCTATGATTTTATCAGTATAAACTATACTGGACACTAGGTGAGGATCATTATAAAAGAAACAAACAAATAAATGCAATTTTTTTTAAGATAATCTCAATTTCAACAGTACAGCTCAATTTCACATGCAAAAACAGACTGCATATTCCTTTCATCCACTGTCCTACAGACACTTCATTTGGTTTACATGTTGCTTATCTGTTAACATTGTCATAGAGGTACAAGTGCCTCAAGACTACCAAGCAGAATAACAGCTCCATAATTCAAGATCTGAACATTTTATTTCACATATTGTTAGAGCTAAGTCTTAGATTTGAAATTAAACTAGCTTCTAGTTTTATAAAATCTGWTTATCCTCATGATTTGTATTTATACCCCTCTTATTTCTCATTACTTCACTTTTCTTTCAATATGTTAGGGGCCACCTGGTCCTTCCAGCTCATTTGTACCCATCTCCTCCTCTCAAATTTCAAAGACACCTGCTCTTTACCCACTCTTGTCTTCCTTCCAAGAGGACAGTTTTTCCACAGATATTCTAGGGACTGCATGTGTTGGTATCTGAGTACTACATTTTTTTCTTCACTACCAGAGAAGCACCAAGATTTTATCAGCTTTTTCCTCAAATACAGAACTCAAATGTGATCTTCACCTTATGCAGTAAYGTATAAATATTATTATTGCTTAAAATAGTATGTACCTAATGAAGCTATTCTTAGAACTGCAATCCACATTATTTCTACATAACAGGATAGCAATACCTACTGTAACTATATAGCAGCACTGTTCATAACTGCGTATCTATTTATGTTAAGGATAGTGCATAATTATTGATCTTTAAGACTCATTTCAAATGCATTTCGGAGATGAAAAATTAGCAAGCCAACAAATAAAAGAAAAAAAAATCCTATCTTAATCCATTTTATTCCTAAATATGCTGATCTTGACTGCAGCTTTCTAAACATAGCTCTTTGTCATTGAATTTCTACTGCTGAGTTAATACTGTCTCAACATGATAAAAGGAGCCAATACAATGAAATGGCACAACAAAACATTTTACAGCAGACACACACAGATGATTAAAGATTTAATCAACAACAACAAAAAGTTACTCTAGCTTTGAAGTATGCTTTAGCAAAACAAATTGGCCAAACAAATGAATAAAGTATACTGAAACAATTCTTTTTGAGAAAGTACATGAGTTGCTGATGGCTGCTTAAGAAATGGAAAAAGCTGTTAAATACATTTTAAGAATGTGTTTATTAAAATAAAATATGATAGGAACTGCAGAGCATGGCAATAATTTATTGTGTATGTATGTTTTCCTTTTGTCACAGGGCACATGAAAGTATGAAATATTTTGCTTTCAAGCTTGTGTTCTGAATTACCTAAAGTCGATACCCAGCACACTGAGCAGGAGACATTGTTAAATTTCACTTTGACACCATCATCTGTCACCCCACCTGTACTTTGAAAAATGAACTCTAAGCAATCAAACCACTTTCTTTCATGGAAAATATTAACTGGCGTCTGCAGAAGTAACCTGCAAAGGAAAGAATGTTTTTGTAATAGTAACGACGACGACAAATGCTGTTGTAAAGGTCAGCTACAAAATAAAGTAGGGAAAGGAAAACAAATATGCAGTATTTTACACCAAATCAAAGACTGTAGAAGAAAGCCCAGAAGGATCACGATTTTAATAAATATCACAGCATTACTGACATGTAAAAATACTGTGTCTGAGACTTACCAACACTTGAATTCAGATCTCCATTTTCAGTGTCTGCTCCATGCTGGTTATTATTTGCATGATAGTTGGACATAGCTTCCAATTTAATTTTTTTCACTTTCATTGCTTCTGCTATAGCAGCATTGGTGGCAGCTGCTGCTGCTGCAGCTGCTGCTGTCAGGCCTGAAAAGAAGTATGAACAAAATTTAATAAACATTATTCCATGACTCTTCATTGTTGTAGAATATATGACTGTTACTCTTCATTCTTTAATACATAATTAAAAAAGAATGTTATGAAATAGTATTCCTCTTCTTTGATTTGAAGACTATCAACTTGAACAAGGTTTTGCTTCATCTCTTATTTAGCTAATCACTTCTATATATTCACCTAAATCTTAACTTCATATCTCGTCACAGCAATCACACTTAACAAATACAAATATTTTGAAATCCAACTTAGCTTGTAAATCACGTCTTCAAGTGTCTGACTGTGAAAAGGTGAAAATGTAGATAAATGTACTCCAGGAAAAAAAAAAAAAAAAAAACCCACACACCTTCAGATGTAAAACGTTTGCCATATTAAAGACCATTCATTTACGAGTAGCAAGTTAGAGAACTGAGCCATTTCTTTCTGATTTTATACATCACATCAAGGAGATGGGGACATTGTAACAAGTTTTGCTAGAGAAAAGGTTTATTAATGCAGAACATAGTTAAAGTTTTACTTTCCCAAGACTTCAAGTAAAGTCATTTATCAGTAAAGCCACCTTTAGGGCATCTGTACGCTATWCCTACCAACAATCTCTGCCAGCCAGCCACTTCCAAGAATGTTTTGCAGATACGGGAAGGGTTCTCCTTTTCAAAAGCAGTTAGAGACTTTGTTTGGTAATGCTTTCAATCCTCTAAATTTGATAGTCTTTATACAATGTTTGCAGTCCCTAGATAGGACAGGTACGCCTCACATGTCTTTGCCCCAAACAAGGTGTTAATGGAGATAAGTCTGGGTCAAAACTGCTCAAGAGTTGCCTAGGAAAGGACATCACTATTTTTGCTTACTCCACACTGATGACCCAGGCAGCAGAGATGGAAATGAAAGCACTAAAACAGATAAGCTATATGCAATAAGGTTACCAATCCCTCTGCTTTGGATGYCATGGGACGAGAGCAGAATCTCAGGTTCCATCATTTACAATCAAGATTCTTGCCCTGACAGTGGAGATGTCTTGAAAACAACTCAGGGTAATTAGTTTAAAGGTGTTTGCTTGTCTGATTTTCAGATATTCCTTCTCTCAGAGGTGCAAAGTGTCTTACACATCTCAGGAAGAATTAACTCGACAATGTGCTACTTGAACGGGTCCAGAGTGCTGCCCAGTATAGGAAAACAAGATCATGGTTTAACAGGAAGACCAAATAAGCAAATAACCCCTGGCTATTGAGATAAATTATGCTGACACCATCACTTTTGAGAGATGTGTTCACTCCTGCACCATTTTGTGCTCACATGAGGTAGAAGACCATCCATTGGAAAGCATGTAGATGACTGGGCACCCAGCACCTCTGCCATCACGGAGGGCAAGTGAGCGGCAAAAGAGGTGTCTTTTCTTGTCTTATGTCTCAACTCACACTTGCCCTCTCTTATTTTTYTGCACGACCACAATGAGACTAGCAAATACCTCCAGCCTATCTAGTGTCCTCCTGAACAAGTGTCTATCACCTCTCAGTGTTGCTGGAATTACAAAGTAAGCAATAATTACATTCTGCATTGTCAGATCAATATTACTTACAAAACTGCTGTTTCAGGTAGAAGACGTGCCATAAGTCAAGAATCAAATCAGAAAGGGGATCAACGTGAGGGTTTCATTTTATTTTAGCTTTTGCTACGATTACAAAGCGTACACGTTCTGATCATAAAAAGGTACTGACAATAACATGGGTGRCTTCCAGTGGTATTTTTATCTTAAGAGGACGGATGTGAAGTTATACATTACACAAATTTGGTAACAGTTCCTAAATTAGGCTGCAGAAAAAGGGATGGTGCACCTCTGAACTTTGGTGTGCATCCTGTGTTCATTAAACAATGCAATATCCTATACTTCCTTTTTTTCATATGTCTTRCTGACAAGCTAAAACTATTATCTTTAAAGAGCAATCCTTCACAGCGATGTTCAAATATGATACAACCAATAAACGCAACAGCAGGGCTCAAACTTTAGATCATGACAGCACTTCTGGACCAGCAGTTTTTAAGCACTCCTAAGTATGATAATAAACACCATGTTAAACAGATATTCTATTGGACTTGTGAGCCCCTGCATAAATGTTATGTCTCACTGGAGTAATGAMCTGGTTGCAGAACTGCTTGAATACAAACCCTCCTTTGCAACAAAATTTATAAAAACATATACTTCAATGATTCTTTCTAAGTGGGCCATAACGTTCCTCTCCAGAGGAGGTCATAACTTTTTCAAACAGATTAWGAAAATAAAATAATTTTAAACTTGGGCTATACTGTGTCGAAACTTCCTGTTTAACAAAAGGCCTTACTTCAGTAAAGATTCAAAGGTGGCCAGAGTTAAAAAGAATATGAATGTTCATATTCGTAGAAATGAATGTCTAAATAACTACTACCTGTCTATTTCTAATTATAAATTTTATAGTTCAAGTTAACTTAAATGTTTTTTAAGCTGATTGTTCAAAAGAGCCTTTTGAACTAAACATTATTTAACATCACTTGCCCCATATACTAAGTAGCCAAAGCATTTCCAAGTTATACACTTTTTACTATAGGCACTTTACCCTGAAATACGGTGGGACCAAATTTACCTGAAGGCAAGTGAAACGGAAGAATCAGTGAGTCATACTAAGGAGTCACTAAGGTATTTTTTGTTCTTTACGAATGTTTATTTGAAAATTGAAAAAACAAAAATGCCAAGCCAAAATGTTCACCGGCTTCAAGTCAATAATGGTTATCATTAATATTCTGAAATTGATAAGTTGTTTATGTCTGGCATTCTTCCTGCTGATTATGCAGTGAGACAGGCAGCTTTATAAATATCTCATCACTCCATCGTCACACAAATTTCATCGACAGTGCTCATGCACAGCTATTAGCAATATGAATCTAACCATTACAAGAGGAAAGAAAATCGAACATGTGGCATTAATACGCAGTCCTGGTTCCTAACCATCTGATAGGCAGATGGCGTAAAGCGGATTCTCCAGCTGAAATGAAGGGGCACATCATTTAAAACCTTGTTTGCATTCTAACTGATATCAGTGCCATATTGATATACATGATACATCATGGCAGTATTTGAACAATCTAGTTTGTTTCAGTCATAAATGTTTACAGCCTTGTTTTTTATCTTTAGAAGCATGTTCTGAAGAGCGTATTTTTAATTTATGAAACCTATTGTTTACTTCTGTTGAACCAGAAGATTAGCGAAGAGCAGGAATATTAAATTACCACAACCCCAGCAGTATAACTAAGATGGATGAATAAAGTATGTTTTTTCAATAAAAGATGTTAGTAAAGGAATTAAAAAATTAGCCTAGACATTTTATGCATTAAATACATTTATTCATTTAAACCTCACAGCCTTTTTCCCATGTGACATACTTAGAACTTTAATGCTTTATAAAGCTATTCATTTAAATCTCTTACTGTGTGCAATTAATCTTGTCCAACCATTTAATTCAGAACGCAAAACATCAGAAAGCAAAGTTCAATTTGGCAGTCATGGCTCCAAAGTAATCTCCGTATTGCTGACAGTTCCTATAGACTCATCAGCAGAAGTTTGCTCAAGGTGTCTCGTCGGAGCCGTATGCGTTTGAATTATAACTCAATTGAAAGCTCTCCAGGCCTTGGTGGAGACGCGAGAACAAGAAGCTCAACACCGAAAGCAAGCGCGAACGGTCCCTTTCTACAAAGACCTCCTCTCTCCTGTCACTAGATTACTTTGACCTGTAGGGTGTGTTTGTAGCTGTTAATTATGTTAATAAAGTTGCAGCCTGCTGCCTCTGCCAAATATAATCATAAGCTTCTTCCTGCCAAATTCTCGTCTAATTTACACCCATATATCTCTGCTGAAGTCAGAATTTCGTGGGTGAGAATGAGACCAGAAGTTAGCCCAGTATGTGTGGTCTCCCGTGCTGAAAAATGAATGAATGAAGGAGAAAACACTGACGAAGAAAATATACAGTGCCTTCAGCAAACAATCCTGGGTTTTGTGTGAAATGCTCGARAGAACTGCCATATATAATGACAGATTTCTCCAAAGTGTATGAATTACTGGTAGGGATTATATCACACGCAGAGCTACTGCCATCCCACAAATATACCTCGCTGCTTTAGGGACATTGCGTAAACCATTCAGTTTGCCTGGCACATCCTCTTAGGAGGGTGGCAAGGAGAAATGAAGGCAGCAGAACTTTTTCAGGAGCAAATGTGTCTGAAAATAACCATTTTGCATTGTATGTCTAAACATGGTCTATGGACAAATCGTAAAATTATTTAAATAGCTGACCTTAGTTTACYGTTAACTTCTGTTATATACCTATTCCTAATAAAAACTTATTATTTCTGATTATTAATGCTAGTAGTAATATTTCTAATAACTAATTATTAATTTCCTTAATATAACTATTATCTTCATTTATGTATCTGTATATAATATACACACATATACAAGGACATAAAAAGTCCAGTTATGCATATATATTGTCTTTCATACCCTTTTTCTTTAGGCCTTCAATAGCATTTTCAAGATATCCTATATTTGCCATCACAGATCAGGTAGAAAGCTGAAACAAATAATTGTCAACAGTGTGTTACATTTATTTAATTTCCGTGAAATTTCACTCTTCTGGAACATTTTATTCCACTGTGTGGGAGGAAGTGCAAATCTCATCTAAATTCTGAAATAAGGCTTTTCATTAGTTCAAATTAATGCTCACTCTCTTTTCTTAGAGTTTATTCTGGTAGTACTGACTTGAAAATAACTCATGACTTTTCTTGATTTAATTCCAGGTTTCACACTGAACTCCTCACATGGACAAAATTGTTATTAAACCCAGGAAACTTTCCCAGGGCAAGAAATGCAGAGTTCCCTCTAGGACTTGCCCTGGCAACTGYGGATCACTGCACAGCTCCCAGGCCTCTCAGCAGCTCAGGGACATGTT